AGAAAATGTATTTAAAAAGATGTAACAGCAGACAATCGGACACCTGGATATTAGTGCCCAGAAAATGAACAAAGATCAAATTATAATCATTGATTCATTGGCCTTTTTTAGCCACAAAACGATGATAGAGGAAGTAAATCTAAATTGATTTTTAACCACATTAGCCTCCTGTAAGCACTCTTAAATCGACCCAGATGTGAAGTGGAAATTCTGATAGAGAGTAAAATGCAGTTGTATCTGTTGAATAAAACAAAGTATCAGAGACCAAGTATTGAAGAGGCTCCAACTCTTTTTTTATTTTTCAAAAAAATCAAAAATATTGAGATAGTCTTGCTGTGCAGAGTAATAAAACAGTACTGCTTGAACAAAAGAAGAATACTAGCATAGGACCTCTGTTTACAAACGTTTATCTCCTCCTGGAAAATGAAAGATTTTCTGTGCCATTTAGACACTGATGCTGAGCAAACAAAAAAAGTCTGGTCAGCATAAAAATATAACATTCCAAAACCGTTATTTTAAACTGGGGTACATACAACTACCAAGAAGATTGTTTTACATTGCTAGGAACATATCAGTAACAAGAAACTTTGAGAGTTTTTCCCCAGTTCAATGTTTTTTTGGGAAAGGGTCAAGGGAAATTTACGGTAATGCATTCCTTTGCCATTTTTGTAGTAACTCTAAAAGGCTAGCTGATGAAACACCGAGAACACTTACTACATGTGTGGTGCACTTCTAGGAAGAACACAGAACACTTTGTCCAGTAAGATGATGATGATGAATTTTTTAGGATTCATAAAGATACTACACAATTCTGAAGGAACTTACGGGAGCTATGCCAATACTGGACTGGACTGGCATATCATATTTTGCTGCTGCTAATAAAAAGTGAATAGTAAAGCAGTCAACTATCCACAGACAAACATGACTTAACAGCTACTACAGAATCTCATATCATTCAAGTCTATGCAGTTATCTGATTTTGTACTAGCTGAAACCAGGAGGATACAAATAGATTAAGTGGAGAAAACAGAAATCACTTGTGGACTCAATGCCTTCTGCTTATTTAGACTTTTATACCATATACTACCTGAAAATCTTAAGACTGAGCACCTAAGATATGGTATCTGATACATCTGACATAACCACATTTATTTAAGAAAATATTGTGACAATTCATATTCTGTTACGGAAGAAAAATCCTCCAAGGAAGAAGAATGAGATCATAACATGAGATTGCTCTATTAAATCACTGACCTGCTGGGTTTCACTGCTTCTCTAATTGCATCATAATCATGCAAACATGTTGGACTGTTTCCTGTCTACACTCTGTTCCATAAAAGTTTCATTTATAAATCGCGATGATCTATAACTACTGTCTATATTGAGAGAATTTCGTCTTAAATTACCTACTTTGAGTGCATCAAATGAATACCACTTTAGCAAGATTTTCCCTTTCTGATCATAAGAATCCCAAGAAAAGAGAACTTCAGGGATTGGTAGCTCATGAAAACAATTTCCTGTAATTCAGAAGATGACACATCTTGATTCTTATCCATTGCCTCACAGCCTACAGGCAAACATAACAGAACAAAAAGCATTTTCTTACATTTTCCCTTTTGGTCTTATGCAAAATAAGTTATGGCTACGTCTATTGGTTTTTGTAGTTTGATAATGATTAAACTTCCTTAAAAATAAACTCCACTGGATTGTTAGTTGATAAATTACCCAGTCATTTTCTTAAAATCCATTCCACAGATATTTTCATTAGCGATATCTAGTATCGTCTTGTTAACACGGGCTCTCTAAACTTCTGTTAAATAACCCTCTACTTGCCTGAAAGGACACTGTAGTTATAATTCTGAACAATGCAAGTTTACCTTTGACTTACGTCAAAAGATTGGGACTGATCTACTCTCCACACTTAAAATTTAGTTTACCTTTACCACAAAAAAATTCCCCAAATGTTCTTCTAAAAAGTTACGCACACTGGAAAAAAAGATTTCCCTTGGGTAACTTAGAAGAATTCTAAGGTCCCAATAAAGCAAAAACTATTCCCTAGGAGGCATGCTTAGGAGACATGGCTTTCTATTTGTGTTCTCCTGGGATATACACAATCTGGGCTTGTCGGGCACAGGTGTATCAATGTGAAAAGGTAAGACAAAATGGCATATATGCATGAAAATAAGAAAAAACAAAATGATAAAAAAGCTAAGTAAGCCCTGAATATTTTAGATACAGCAACTCCCATTTTAAGAGAGCAATACTATCACAAAAGAGTGACCATCACGTATATTGAAGAGTTTCTGCATAATGGCTTGTTTTTTGTACGCAAGATTAAGGGAAGAATCCCATCAGTTGAACTTTACTACAGGTATATTACCTTGAATATCGACATGCTTTTTCTAAAAGAAAATTTTCTTTTTCTGGTTTGAAAGATAAAATACTCCAAATAACACAAAATAAGGAAAGATAAAAAGCATTTCTGTCCTTGAATATCAGGATAATAATCTACACAGAGATTTACACTAGAAACGAGTATATTCTGCTTGGGTATTGTGCCAATACATATTAATTACCTAGATACAGAAAGGTTAACAAGCGTTGCACTTTTTTGTAACTATAAGACAGTGCATTTCCAGTAGTGGTAAAATTTTTGAGATTTACTGAACACCAAGATAATTTAGGAGCACAGGGATTTCTCAGGTCAGTAAGAGAATCTTTGTGCCACAGCAGCTTTCATTCAACTGAGCATTTCTTCTTTGATATGTAACGCCTGAAAAGAATCATCAAATACAGCAAATGACATGCTGCAGGGGAAATAATTTACTATGTTAAGCAGAATTAATGGTTTTAACTAAAATTTAGGAAAAGAATGTGACAGTGAAAAGGTTGGGTATTATACTGCTCATAAACTTCTGTGCAAGTAGAGCATTTCTATTTCATTTAGGATACAACCGACAAGTATGTAGTGCCTGTAATTTTTTAAAATTATTATTATTACAAAACAAAACCTATCTACAGGGCATAACACTATAGCTTAGTTCATACAAATATGTAAGTAAACAATTTGTTACAAGAAATTTACTGTCTGGTTCAAACAGACAATACAGTTAACCTTCATATAACACATGGGGTATTAATACAAAGTTGAAGAAATAATATCTTGCAAGTGCTGAATAGGTGATTCTTCTAGTAATATACCCTCAGAACGGATTCTGGAGGAGAAAAGAATTGCTAGACAAGAGATGCGGTTCGAAGTGTAAAGACTGTAATGGAAGATGAGAAGAAAGAGATAAGGAGGAAACTTGAGACAAGTAGTAGAACTGAGACTTTATACGGTATACCAATGAAGTGGAATTAACGTAGGTATCCCTGGAGGTAAGGAACACAGCTTAAATTTGAAGCTGAAAGTAAGAAGCATGAATGAAAAAGCTACAAGTGGAAAATGACAGTTGAGAGAGAGAGAAAATATGAAGGCAGACTAATGCGGCAGAGGTTTAGACAGATGAGGCAAAAGTTGACCAACAGGAAAAGAAATATTGTACTGATGAGGATTAAGAAAGAGAAGATTCTATAAATACTGCAGATAGAACCAGAAAGGACTCAAGACATTTTTACATAAAAAAAGGAAAGACGGGCATTGATAACGCAAAGAGGTTGAGCATGTGAACGAGCGGGATCACAGAACAGTAACAGGAAAGGAAGGATACGACAAATTCTTTTTTTCCCAAGTTGAACTTGAGTTTTTTGTGAGATAGCTGGTAGTCTGAGAGTAAAATGTTAAGTGATTAGCTCCAGAAGAGCAGCTGAAACAGAAGACAAGGATAAAGTTGCTCAATGAGAATAAAAAGAGAGAAAATGAGAGAAATATGAACAGAAGTATAAGAACTATCACTAAAAAAAGTAGTGGCAGAGGTACAGAAAACAGTATTGGAAGAGAAGAAACCAAAAGAATATGAATACTTTGAAAAACAGTGTAAAAGCAACATAAAGGAATGATCTTAGTATTAAGGAAACAATAGTACCTTTAATGAATGGATATTTTCCTAGAAAAAGATGTGTCTAGGTTTCTAGGTAGTAAGAAATATCTAGGATATTAGATTTATCTGGAAAAGAATGGAAACTGTTAGTGTGCTTATACTGGGCTTGCCTTTTATTTCAAAGAACATATAAAAGCCAAAACGACACACATCTTAAAAGAATTAGATTAGGAAAGCTGAGGTTTTGCAGAAGCACTGAACTGAAAGGAAATTATCCCTTTTGAAGAAAAAAAACCCCACTAATGAAATCTTTTGTTGTGGTCCCCTATTCTGGCAATGAAAGCATCAGAAAACTGATTGGGTCTTCATCTGTGCAGGATGAGTAAAGCATAACCCTATTGTCTGGAACAATATGGAAGGCAGCTAGAGGAAATAAAATTCACAAAAAAGAAAACACAGTCAAAAATATACATATGTATCACGATATTGATGTCTTATGCAATACTTAGAATGAAATATAAAAACACAGAAAAGAGTCACATGTGATAACTAATAGAATTTTTCTATTAATCAGAGTGTAGGATTCTGACAGAAATTGTCAAGAACCACAGGGGAGCATTAAGTCAATTGCTTTGACATACTTTTCAATCTTGGTATCACTTTTATCTTATTTGGTTTGTCATGTGTGGACAAATTACGCCATGGATTATAGAAATATGGAAAAATCATCGCATCTTTCAACTTTAATTTGATCAAAACAGTGTATGAGTCACGTTTGGAGGGATTTAATATTCTGTATATACAGAGTATATATGTAATGTACACATAACAATGAAGTATAATTGATTAGCTGTTTAGGTTAAGTGTGTGCATTTAAAAAGTTAACAAATCTTTACTGAAAGATTATTTTTGAGTTCTTACTTTATAGGCCAGGCTGTGTTGGAAGAAAAGAATCCTCCAGTACAACATGCACAGTATTCTATAACTTTGAAGGAAAAAAATCCCCACTAAATTTCTTACCTCCAGCAACTAATCCAGACTCTCCTAACTGAATTGCTACCCCAAAGCCACCAAGCTTTACAGGGGCTGAATTCTCTTTTGAGGCAAGCAACACACAGTGTGGCTGAAAAGAAGAAACAGACAGATTATTACAATACTTGACAAGTATAATTTGCTTTTTAGAAAATATCTTCATAACTTAGCAAAAAGAAGTTAAGAGTTTTTGTTTTTTGAATGGAATTTTTAATTTCAGGTTTTTTTGGCATGAACTCCTCTCTGTTGGTTTCCCTTTTAACTGCCCCTTTCAAGACTTATCAGTACTCAGACAGAACACAAAGTGAAATTGTAAGAAAATGGAGATAAAGATGAAAGTCGGTCAAGAATTTCTTTCTTGTTATTACCTTTTCTTTTAACCTTTCACACTTAAGCCTTACACTGTTCCAATTCTTCAGTTAAAGCTATAACACACACTATTCTTCACACAAAGAATATAAAACACTCTTTTGGGCCTTAATCACAGACTTCATCATCGAGCTTCCAACTGCAGAAAAGAAAAGGAGTGTCCCTACGACATTTCTAACAAATGTTCCAGTAAGGTGGAAATTGTTTAGGTCTTCAAACTGGATTCCCTGCACAATTGTACATGCCTTTAATTTTCTACATTCTGCCCATCAATAACAGTGAGATGCAAAATATAAAAACAGAAAAATATACTACTACTATTTGCAAGGGTAGAGATTGGGGGTAGGAGGAAGCAGCATATAAGCAAATCTGGTAGTCACAGTGTAGTATTTAATACACATAACTAACATACTGTAATTAATGTAAAGCTGCTTCCAACATTTGCTCACAGTATCCTTTGCACAGTCAGCCATATTAGAGTATTTATAAGGACAAATGTCAAATCAGTGCACTGCTTCTTGAGAATACATTACCACATAAACTACAAAGCTAGGTTCTCAAAATAGATAACACATTGTTATCATTTAACACTGTCAGAAGACAGAAGCATGTGGCCACCAGCGAGATTTTCTTTTGCACTAGTCCTCCTGCCAGAAACTTCTCAGAGAATTTTCAGTACTTTCAGTGAATAAAGCAGCTACTCATTACAGAATCACCACGCTACAGAGAGATTTTGGGTAAAAATCACATTGGGTGGTGACTGAACTAAACTGCTTAAATATGAAAACGCATAATTACAACCTTCCTGCATGAATGGTTGAGTAAACTGTGGAAGAATCCATGTAAAAGTTCTGGTATGTATTGGTGTGCACCAGCTGAAAAGTATGGCTTTAATCTAGGTTGTGGGACCATTTTGTAAAATCCCCATACGTGATCTACAAGAACTTTTACAAAATGAGCTTACTAAGTTAGATGTTAGGCTAGAAGAAAATAATTATCGTATCAGAAGACTCTAAAAAAGCAGCACTTCCCCACAGTCCACTCCATATAGTCACAGCAGACCCACAAATTGTTTCCTCTGACACTTTCTTACTATTTACTTCTTGATATGGCAGAGCACTTGAATTTTTGACATGAATGTTTATATAAATAACTGACAGAAAATACATTAACATATTTTTCCAATGCTTTTACACATCTTGGCCCTATTGAATAAGATTATTATAACATACTAACAGCAATCCTTCTATGCCAAGCTAGAAAATAATAGGCTTGGCTTTATTTTTTCTAGTTCAGTTGAACCTTGAGCAGGACTTAGAAGGCTTAAAAAATAAATCGGGAGATCATTCTGATCCAAGTATTTGTGCCACCCAGAGGTAATTAGGAACATGGCTATTCCAACAATAGAGCATGATGAATGTAAAAAGATTGCTCCAACTATGGTCTGTGGTCGCTGAGGATAAAATTAATTTCTGAAAGAATGCCGAGGCAGCTTTGAAACAAAATAAAACAAAACAAAAATTCAGAGCTTTGGGCCGGACTAATGTGAAGGAACTACATGGCTGAATCTCGCTACCTGCAAAGTTATCATCTGTAACCATCCATGTTTTCCTTAAAAAAAAAAAAAAAAAAGTTGTAAAATAACAAGCAGCTTCAAGAAAGAAATCTTAGCCTCTTTGAAAATCTAACTAAAATCTGCAGAATACCCTACAAACTTGATTCCTAGACAGATGACATATTAAGAATGCCAGTATGGGAATTCTCATTTCAAATACTAAGTAGAGTATTAAGTCAAGATGATATTCTTGACATCAATAAATTTAGGCTACCATCTATTAGCACTTACAGAAACCCTTTTTAAATTTGTGATTTAAAAACATAATTTTCAATCTCTTACATCCTATTCAAAATGGTATTATCTCTGACTATTTTATTTTACTTCTGCCTAACTGAAATTATTATACTGCATAGTCTGGACACTTTCATATTCTATCACCATTGTCATTAGATCGAAAGAAAAGATCAACCTCAAATTTCTCACCCAAGGCAGAGGGGAAGACGGACAGATGTTATCTACACCAATAAAAGGAAAAGATGGTATTTTAATAAAGTGTTGATATATTTTTACCCTACACTTTTAAAAAAGTGATACTGTTTTGATGAGAGAATTAAAAAGATAGCTTGTGCCAACACAAGAAAAGGAAGCCACCGAAACTGGTCACCAGAAACAAAGTTTCTATAAAAAACTAAATCCTCCAATTCAGAGTGAAATTCCAAGACCGTTTCTGTTTTTTAAACAGAACCTCCCCTAACAAAGTCCAAATTAACATCCAAATCAGTATTTTCAATAAACTGAGTTTTGCTAGTTAAAAATACCTTTAAAAAAAAATACAGTTGCAACACCAGTTAAACTTCCCCTTGTTGCTACTTGCAGTGTGTCAGCTGATTCTTATCACTTTTGTAGAGAAGCTGGCGCTTTAACTTTCTAATAAGAGGACATGCATGTTACTCCTTCCTTTCTTCAACAGTGGTTTTGAAAAAATCAGCAGAAATTCTTAATAAACAGTAAGTAGTTTCCTTTTAAATTCAAATATAGTAAAACAAATTTCTATTAAAGTACAAATTACAGATGTACTACTGACAAATTACCTTCAAAACTTTAATATACTTAGATTCAAGCCTCTTGTTGATAGGCGAAAATACTTAAGATATGTTAGAAACATTATAGCTTTTAGCATCTGCAATGTAATTGATTTTTCCATCTGAAACTACCTAAGTCATTATATGTCAAGGGTTTTATAAAATAGCAACATAAACAAGAAATTAAAGTGGAAGATATCTTTGGAGATGTGCTTGAAAGCATTGAGTTTTTTAATCAGATGAAACTTCTAAAACTATTTCTAGCTCAGACAATACTAAATAGCAAATATAATAAAGCAGCAATCTTCATAAGACTGCTCACACAGTGCAGACATACTCAATGTTATTATAAGATCAGCCAGTATGGGAAGTTAAAGTATTTTAGGCTGTCCACTCAATAATTCAGATTCTCTATGCATAGTATTAGATCTCATTAAGATTTTTGCTTAAAACGCTGCCATTTTCATTGCTGTAGTTATACCGCACAATTAAATGTAAATATGCATTTTTAAGACCTAGTATACAGACCAGGAACTGTTTCAAATTTATGTATATGGCAAAGAGCATTTTTTCTTGTTACTGTTGTTACAGGACTTAGTTCAGATTACCAGGAATAGTTTTGTTTTTTTATGAGATTCGGAGAACAAAAAACTTGTCCCTCTAAAAAAATTCTAAATACACTTTATGTAATATTTTATCGATACGCCACATAAATTAAGTTCAGAATTTATATTAATACTAACCAATCTTAGCTATTGAAAAAGCTTATTACTATTCTGCTCTCTTAACCACACTTTTTTTTTTGGTTTTCCTTTTTTGGTCAAAGCTGATTTTTATCTTCTAAGATTGTACCTTCCTGGCCAAAAATAAGCTCACTGAAATTAGAAACTTTATGAAAACATGAACAATGCAAAAACAATCTGTTTATCACAGCATTAGTGTGATCTCAAGCTACTATTATTTTCCTTGCACAACTCTCAACAGTCAACAAAAGTAGAAAGCTTAAATTTATATGAAGATATTATTAAAAGCATGCTATTGTAATATTAGGAACTCGCACAGTGTTATGTATAGCCAATGATATAACTGAGTAGCTTTCACTTACAACAGCAATTAGCAGTTGCTAACCAGTGACTTGCATGAAAGAGATACTGAATACCTACCTAAAATTAATACTGTTAAGTTTAGTATCCTTCCAATGTATGTATCTTGTATCAACACTCAGAATACTTAACTTAGCTATGCTTCCACTTTTTTGCATCTTAATTAAAAGTGTTCTCACTCTCATAGTCACTGGTCACGAAAGCCAATTTTAACAACAGAACTTCATAATGTTTTAAAATTATTTATACTTATGGGTCAAGCAAAAAATGTAAGAATTCCTAAAATTTGCAGCAAAATATAAATGTTTATTTCAAAACAAGATAGTCATAGTTAAAAGAAGCAATTATCAGAATCATCATCTCCATGAGTACTCTGTACTTGTCAATCTGTTTTTGCCCACTTTACATGAAAAAAAACAGGGAACTGATTTTTCTAGGATTACATCATCTCATGACATCTGGCTGACAGTCCTTCTACTCAGCAACAATTAGCCAGCTCAGGTCAATTCACTTTTTTAGTTATTGCCTAATTTGCATTTATGCAACTTCAGAAAGTGTATGCAATAAAGCAAGCAGACATATTAAAGTGTTTGGTGATTAATTCCTATAATTTCTCTTTACATCTCTACAGAACAGCAAAGACAATCCTAACAAACGATGGCTGCAACTTCAGCTGATTTTCTGAACATTCTTCCATACAGGGAAGTCATCTGGAGTAACCAAACTGACCTAGCCAGAAACTTCTCAGAAATCCAAAACAATGCCAGTTGTCCATTAAATGAAGATTCGTTGTCATTTGCTTTAATACTTTTTTACTCCATTATTTTTGTCATTGGATTGGCTGGAAATATCATAGCCCTGTGTGCTTTCCTCTGCATTCACCAGAAAAGGAACTCTATACAAGTTTACTTACTAAATGTAGCTATTGCAGACCTTCTGCTGATATTCTGTCTTCCATTCCGAATACTGTATCACATTGCCAGAAACACCTGGATGTTTGGATTGATTTTATGCAAGATTGTAGGGACTCTATTTTATATGAACATGTATATTAGCATAGTGCTGTTGGGACTAATTAGTTTAGATCGTTATGTAAAAATAAATAAGTCCGTGAAGCGTAAAATGTTAACTACTACACGAAGTATATATATTTGTTGCACAGTGTGGGCACTTGCACTGATAGGATTTATAATAGTAGTCGCACCATCTTTCTTTACGAGTGAAGAAGGCAATTCTACTATGTGCTTTCATTACAGAAATAAACACAAGGCAAAGACAGAAGCAATTTTAAATTATATTATTGTTATCATTTTTTGGATAGTTTTTTTCCTTTTGATACTTTCATATGTTAAAATTGCTAAGAACCTTCTGAGAATTTCTAAGAAAAGAGCTAATTTTCCTAATGCAGGAAAATACACCCAGACAGCAAGGAATTCCTTCATCGTACTCATTATTTTCACCATATGTTTTGTTCCTTATCATGTGTTCCGATTCATCTACATTACATCACAATTACAAAATCCATCTTGCTACTGGAAGGAGATCATTCACAAATGCAATGAGGTTATGCTTATATTTTCATCTTTTAACAGCTGCTTAGACCCAGTTATGTATTTCCTAATGTCCAGAAGTGTGCGTAAGACTGTATTTCAACTTATTTGTAGAAGACTTCATGGGGATTCAACCGTAAATTTAGAAAGTACTTCAGAAATGCAACTTGGACAATATACACAAGAGCGATTATCTACTATCACTCCCTATTCAAGTTCTTTAAAGAAGAAGTCTCTCACCTGATCGTTTAAATTAGCAGATAATGACTTCTCTTTGTCTTTTTAGGATGTCAATTTAAGATGTACCAAGGTAATACTACACAGCTACTAATCCTGCCTCTTTCTTCCTGTTGAGAAATGAGAAGTCTTCTGTTCATGAAAAGGAGAAGTGACTTTTTAGAAGTATTTTACTTTCTTTATCCAAGAAAACAACTTTAAGGAAGCTTCCCATTTTATCTCAGACATCTTCTACTGAACTAATGTAGAACACTAACTCTTTGGGGAGATTTCCACAAAGTGGTTTTAACCTGTATATACAAAGAATCTTGTACATACACAGTAGTACTGCCAATTGTGTACGTAAACAACATGACTTTTGCAAAAGTAATGCTTCCGTGTCCTATTCAAAAGGGCTATGTTACTTATTATGGATTTCCTATATTCCTCTGTTTTAATAGGTTTCAGAGATCAATGTTTTTACTGCATTTATAGAACTATTTTTTTCAGGCGAATATTTGAGAATTTAGCAATGTACATGGCTTAGCAATGAGCTAAGAATAAGACAGCCACTAATTCAGTTATTACAGAAGACACACTGTTTTATTAAACAGCAAAATTAAAATATTCACGCCTAAGCTCTTTATTATATTTCCAACATTTTTATGAATGTCAAGGTCAAATATCTCAGGAAAAGCAAGCAAGGAGTTAGGAAAATCAGAAGTTCACGAAGGAGAGAGGCCAAAGGTATTTTCAATTAGCTAAGATCTCCTTCAAATTTTGACTGACAAATTTGGTAACTTCAGCTACAAAAGAATAGAAAAATTAGCCCTTGTGAACCTCTGAAGCATCAGCTCTGACCTTTGTTCGGACTCCTTGTCCTTAACTCCACCTAGATCTTAAGGCTAATGCCTACTCTAGATTTCCAAAGCTACTCATTTCAATTGCACATTCCCTTTGGCAGAGATGTTTTCTGTTTTCACGTGATTAAAACAATCTTGGTAACTGCTGATGCTATGTAAACAGTAATACAACAGCAAATATACCTTACATGCAATTATATTCTCAGATTAAAACCAAGCAGTCTTATGCATTTAGACTAAACTAAAATTTCAAACTGCTCCATCATTTAAAAAAAAGGGGGGGGGGTGGAGGGTGCTAGTCCTTAAGACTTGCAATGAGAGGCAGTTAAGCGAAAAAGAATTTATTTGTCTAGCATGACAGGACAGAAAGATGAACAAATTACATAATAGATGTTAGCTCTATAAAATAAGGTTTTATTATGCTAAACACATACAACCAATACCGCTCAGGTAAGCTGCTGTACAGAGGTGGATATGACTATTAATATGACTATTAATAAACTAATGGATTATGTGACTTTCTTAAACATTTCAACATAAATTTAAGATATTTTAATAGTAATTTCTGATTTATTCTCACAATAACTTGTGCTATACTTTTTCAGAATCTTTCATGCATTATCTCATCATCCTATTATATGTACATTGGAGCAGGAACTGTCTTGACTTTGTACAGTGTATTTGTACAGTGCCAAAAATAGCATGTTCCTTGTCCTTTACAATTGAAGGCATTATAATAATACAAGAAGTTACATCAGCTCTGATAAACCTAGTGCAGTTTAGAAACCAGCAGTTTTACAAGATATAGGCACCATCTCATCGTTCTTTTCTTACCTGTGTTTGCTCTAATTTGAGTGGCTATTGGATGACAATGATCACCAAGGCCACTGGAAGACTGGAACAAAGTGTAACTTCTAAAATTCTTTTAAAAAGTGCAATCTCTTTAAATTAGAACTTATTAAAAGGATTTTTTTGTCCATGGACACAGCAGTATTGAAAAAATAGACTGAGATCGCTTTGGAGGATTAAGTAATAGTATAGGGTTTCAATGCTACAAATGAAGTACACTCTTAAAGCCAAAACCAAATAGCAATGTGTTCCCTAGGAAAAAAAAAAAAAAAGTGATCTGGGTGTGTTCTGGTCCCTCATATACGTATCATTAGGTAGGCTTTTCTGTTTTAATAATTTTAATGGTGAAATCTATTACCTATTATATACAAGAGTAAAGTCTTAAATGCCCATATCTATTTATATTGATCAGATATGTTCTACATCAGGGCCATTACTTATGGCTTTTAGAGAAGAAGCATCAAGGAAGCCTCGTGTACTATCAATAGATAAGGTTTTAGATCATTTAGAAGAAAATCATTTTAGAAGAAATATTGAAGAGTAACACTTCCACAGGACAATATGCTAGAGAACAAAATTTTTTAAAAGCATTTCAGTACTGGATCACTTAACCATCACTTAAATCAGCTTCAGTACATGAGCAATGAAAAGTAAATATGACCCAAATCTTTTTTAAGAATTTTCAGAAGCTACAGTCTAATGTTTGTATTAGGCAAATAACGCAAATTAGGCACCTATTAAAGACAGATAAATTAGGCAAGCATAGGTGTATGCCAGGGAAGAGCAAATAGAGATTTCTGAGGGAAGACATGTACCAGAAAGTCAGTAAGCAGAGGAGCTCTCTACAGAGGATGAGAAGCACTACAATAAAAGTGATCTGGTGTACCTGGACTTTGAGCAAGTCACTTTACTAAAGACTCTTAAGTAAACTAACTTGTTAGATGATAACTCTTGTTTTAGAACTAGTTAAAAATTGGAAAGAAAGGCTAAAAATATGGGGTCTTTTTACTTCATAATGTTCCCCAAGAATCTGCACCTGGACCTGTTTATGAATATGTTGAACACTACAATCTGGAATGAGTGAGAGTAATGGGATAACAAAGTTTCCAAACAGTACAGGGTAGACCAGCCTAGAAGATAGGTTTAAGATATCATCTCTCCACTCGAAAGCAATCCAGCAGCAAAAGGACTGTTAAAGCTATGAGAAAAGGAACTGAGAAGTCATTGTGCCGTTATATAATTCATATGGTACAGATTCTACACAAGAATACACTAACTAAAACAACTCTTCAGCTCAGAAATGAAAGCCTGAAGGGGGACACAACAGGTCTACGAATTCAGCTATGGCATGCAAGAGTGGATGAGGAACAACTATATGCTCTTTGACACAAGTGTGAGAGTAAGGGAGCAGCGGTTAGAATGATAAACAACCCTCTAAAACAACCAAACAAGTGGAAATACCTTATTACAGAATTCCACAATTGTGGACATCAGCGCTTCAAAATGTTAGAGGCCAAATGTATGAACTGGCTCAGAAAGGGATCTGAATCCAGACAGCATCATCACATAGGAAATGATTACTACTGAATAAAAAACAAAGGCATGTCTCAACTCTATTTTCATATTTAATCTTCAAGGATTTTTCTTTATTTTTTAGATTTTTTTTTTTTTTTTTACAATCAACCTGTCCCAGCTTTGAAGGTAAAATGTCAGGTTCTGCAAACCAATATTATTGAAAAAGAAATAATCCTGAAGCATCTTTGGAGGTATGGTAAAAGTTACGCTGGGACATTTTAAATGACCATACTATCAGCACTTTAATAGTGTTTTTAACTGCTTGTCTTAGCAGTGCTTACAAAGTACTGTGAGGGCCAGCTATAGCAATTGAGTCTTTAGCTGAATTCCAACATCAAAATCATTCCATTTATGCCCACAGAGAGTCACAAGTACAACAAGAGACTTGATAAATCATTCAGACCCCTTTTTCTTACATTTCATATGACACGTAATAAATAAAGTTGTGACATTTCATTTGTACAATATGTACTTTGCAGCCATTGAATAGTATACAGGTTTCAGTAGCTTTTTTGTTAGACATCAACACTATTACAAGTTGTAGAACAGTCAATTTATGTCACTTTTACAGAAAATCACTTGTATGCCACTGATACTCTGGGATTATTCCTGGAATAATGTTGCTCTTTCTGTAAATAGTGGCTGACTCAATATATGCATACCCTGCAGGAAACTCATTTTGCTTCTTTACTCAAGTCAAATTTCAGTTGGTGCACCAAAGTGTCACCTCTTTTTTTTTTTTAAAGTATGTAAAAAAAACACATATTCTTCATTAGCATAAACACTAGTTATATATATAAACAAAATATATGGGCTTTCTATTTGCCTGTACAACACAGTTGTCAATACAGTTTTCATATAAAAACTGACTCTGAAGCTAAAAATAAGGAATATCATGACCAATACAGAGCTGCTGCTTTTTTAAAAAAACAAATACAGTAAAGGAGAGCTCTGGAGGCTGCAAAAGGAATTTCACTGGGGAAAAAACCGTACGCGGTATTTTGCATTAAAGACCTGCAGTATAAAAATTTGGAAAGATGATTTTTATTCAACCTAAGTTTTCCAGCTTGAAAGACATTGTTTTCTTTGCGTTTTATGTATGTAAAAAGACTACCTGGAACCTGTGAAACACTTATGTTTGCATATTTTATAACAGCCAAAGAATTGAAGCCATGGGTGTGCAATGTAACCCCATTTCTATACCACTAAGAATACTAGAAATGCCACAGAGTTATATTGCATACACTCATAATTCATCAAACAAAATAAGAATGTGTGTTTCGATCTATTTTGCTGAGCCACAGTGTAGTTCCAAAGCTGGTGAAAATAAATCATTAATGAACAGCAGTAAGTCTACCACAGACCAGCAATAGTGCTTGACTGAACTAGACTAGATCTAAAAAAGAGCTTAGAGGACTTTGCGTTGATCAGCACTTCCCACATCATTAAATACATATACTGACTATAGCTTAAATCTTCATTTCATCAATTAGGAGGAGATGTGGGCACACACTGGGTCACCCCTGCAAGGAAATGTAATGAATAGGTAGAGAGGAACTCTGATGCTCTGCAACAAGTCTCCTGATCTAGATGACAGCCAACTGAACAAAGGCGCACACCATGCTGTGCTTCTGCCTTACAGTTTATACAGCTACATGTTTGATGCATGCTATACGTTTATTCAGTGTGTTCCAGCCTACACCTAGGTTTGCCTGCTTCTCTGCGCCCGATACTCAGCAGCTGCCTTCCACCTTTCAAACTGCAGACACAGAGCGCGTGCCCTTGGGCCTTCCATGACTCAGAGAGCCCTGACTGCTGTGGGAGCCAGAGGGTAACTAGAGCACTACCTTTTTACCATTCCATGTGGAGCAGCTGCTGCTGCCAACATGTGACACTCCTTAAGGAGCAGTCCTGTTCACCATCTAGTTTGTGACAGATTGACTGGGCTGTCTCCAATCATCTTCGGCAGATGAAGTGGGAGAGGCAGTGGCCAGGCAGTCTGCAAGTGGATTATTAAGCTTTTATAATCCATACTTAGCATACCGTGTAATACGATCATATATGACGAACTGAAGTATGTTTTCCCACTGTGAATTCCCTTTTTTATGTGGCTTTGGGCCACAAAATAAGTCGTCTGCATACAATATCAAAAGGCAACATGCATTCCTTATTGCCACATAAAATCCAATAACATGTACAAATTAGAAAGTGATCACCCTTTAAGAGTACCGAAAATATTAAGGTAAAAGAATGTACGTGAAGGTCATTACCAAGAACTTATTATTACCAAGAACAAATTG